TCAGGGCCAGCTTGGTGGCACATGCCTTTAAACCCAAGCACTTAGGGGGCAAAGGCAGGTGGATCTCTGTGATCAAGGCCAACCTGGTCTACATAGTGAGTTCCAGGTCAGCTGGGGCCACAGGGAGACCCTGTCTCAAAAAAGACAAATAAATAAATAAATAATAAATAAATAAATAAATAAATAAATAAATATTGAATTAGCTCATTGGGTAGTTACTAAAATCAGCTAGAGCTGATGTTTTAAACTTAGCTTCCATGATCAACCAGTTTTTAGATCAAAAGTCAAGTAGCTTTAAGGGCACATTTAAAGATACACAACTGCAACTTTGTTTTTTATTGTAGTGTGTTTGAAAAATTAACTGGTGAGTTGTTTGTAATTTCTCAGACTTACAATGGTAAAAATGTTTAATGACATTTTATAGTGCTGAAGCACTGGAATATTGTTATCCCCTGAACTTTTGGATTTGGGGCTTAATGTAGTTCTGTCCCACAAAAATGATGTTTGATCCCACAGTGGTAGTGGGGTATCACTAGCTCTGAAGTGTTCACCCCTTTTTGGCTACTGTGTCTGTGATATAGCTCTGAAAACTGTAATGTGAAGTGAAAATTTTCTTGATTTGGAGTCAGCCACTGGGATGTGACTCAGGGATGACTAGCCTGTGCTGTCACTTTATCATGTGACTGGCAGAAGCTGCTAGGAAGCTGCCCAGCGTCTAGGCCTCCACAGTGTGACCGACTTTGGCCGTGTTTCAAAACACTGTTGACTACATTTAATTCTGTTTGACTTCTTTTCTGGAAAGAGGCACTTATTTACCATTGTGGTAGCAGCTCCTCAATTTTGTCATACCATATCTTATCCCTAAGAAGTAGGGTGCAACTGAGACCTCTTTGAATTAGGTTAAAAAGTTAGTAGGGGGCTGGAGAGATGGCTCAGTGGTTGAGAGCACTGGCTGCTCTTGTAAAGGACCTGGGTTCAGTTCCCAGCACTCACATGGCAGCTAACAACCATCCATAACTCAGTTCCGAGACCTTGTCTTAAAAAAAAAGAAAAGAAAAATAGGCTGGAGAAATGGCTCAGTGGTTACGAGCACTGACAGCTCTTGCAGAGAACCCAGTTTCAGTTCCCAGCATCCACATGGCAGCTAACAGTTGTCCTTAACTCAATTCCAGGGTATCCGACACCCTCTTTTGACCTCTGTGGGCATTGCACGGCATGGGTGCGCGTACATATATGCAAGCAATCATAAAATAAAAATAATAATTTTTTTTTTGTCTTTTTGAGACAGGGTCTCCCTGTAGTCCCAGCTGACCTGAACTCACTATGTAGACCAGGCTGGCCTTGAACTCACAAAGATTCACCTGCCTTTGCCTCCCAAGAGCTGGGACTAAAGGCATGCACCACCACGCTGGCCAAAAAGTTATTTTTTAAAAGGTAGTAGGAAGAAATGACATTTTTCAGTCTGATAATTATGACCATACTAAAACCTGGCCCCGGAAAAAAATACTGGTTTCTTTTTTGTTGTTGTTATTGTTTGTATCCCTAAATTTATTGGGGATGGAAATGCAGAGATGATGATTTTGATATATTTTTATATCTTCTGTGTGTAGCAACTTACGGTGGCTGTGTTTGCAGCAGCGTGCTTAACACACCCATAACTTGCCTTTCTCTTGGAGAATGGAATCGTCTTCACCTAGCTCCCATGTCAAGCATTTGGAAGCTGTCCTTGAGTATACTTTTGATTCATTGCTTCACTGATGAATGGTCCTATCAGTTTAATCATTAAGCTATAAAAGATGGTCATGCTGGTGCATGCTTGGAATTCCAGCAGTTGGAAGGATTAGACAGGAGGATTGTGAAGAGTAGAGGCTAGCCTGGGCTATATAAGATGATCATGTCTCAAAAGAACCAATAAATAAATACACAAAGTAAGATAGTAAAAATGAGAGAAAACTTTCTGTAGATGTGCCTTTTATTATGCCTTCTGTCTTCCTAAACACACACACCCTTCACCCCCCTTTTAGACTAGTGTTTTGAGGGTGCTTACCATGCATCCTCATCATTTCATGCCTAGGCAGCAGCTTCATGTGAGGAGTTGATCTCAGTGCTTCTCCATCCACCCAAGTCTAGTTTTAAGATTGCCACTCTTCTCCAAGTGTGAATTTGACCTTGGGATTTGTTCCCTAGCATCCCGTGTGCTGGTATCCTTATAGCTTGTGGTAGATTCCTGCCCCTTTGCCCTCTACTTTAGTGTTTCTTACATAGTATCATTGTCTCTTTGCTTGTCTGCCTCCATTGAGAAGAGCGTTTCCCTTTTCATCTGTGCCCTGTGCCAAACAGTAGTGTATAATGAGTAAATAAGTGCTGGTAAATAAAGAAGTGAATTGGTATATCCTATGTCAAAGTCTTTATAATATTATCTTTGTAAATTTGAACCACAGGAATTCACCTTTGTTGATGACTTTCATAATGGTCTTGTTACAGGAGGAGAACTTTTTTCTTAAAACACTTTGAACTTAAACATCTATTTTAAACTCACTATCCTGCTCCTCTGTAGTGATTGGCTACCTCCAGCTTGACATTTGGATGGACATTATACTGCATTTTCACAAGCAATCTCAGAAAGTGCTGTGATTCTGTGATCTGTGGCTGAGGAAGTGCAGAGAAGCCCAGTTGTGGGACACATTCTTGTGTGGTTTTGTGGGAATTGGGTGACTTCAAAAGAGAGCTTCTGGGAATGGTGGTCAGTGCTGATCCCGGGTAGATGGGTGGGATACGAGCTCAGAGTCAGGTGAGGGGTCATTTTGTTTCTCAATTTAAACTTTTGGTTATTGGCATTTTTCACAGATTTAAGTGTTTGCTGTTTTTAGCTTTGTGAGAGATTGTTATTTGCTCAACTGTTAATAGATACTCATGGAGGACTGTTACTGAAGAGAGGTCCATTTGGTGGAATAAGTGATTTAAAGAATAAATAGAAGAATGAGTCCAGAAGATAACACTTATAAATGCAAGTACCAGAAAAATCACAGCTCATCTCCGTGAATTTGCAGTGGTAAGTTGGTATTTGATTTTACATGGGAATGTGTTTAATTTCTGTGACTTAGTGTGTGCTTGGAGTCTGGTGTTTAGATCCTTAATTGTTCATTAGCAAATGTAGTTAATTTATGCTTATTTAAACTTATCATATTAAATTTTACTGAACTTTTCTTACAACAGATTTTCCCATTAAAACCCTTTCACCTTTGTAAATCACGAATCTTAATGGGTCGCACAGGCCTTCCTGCACTGCATTTCTCAGTTCATTTTAAGTGAGAAAGAGGGTCTCAAATTTAACGTTTGTTTGCAGGATTATAGGTGCCTGTCCCTCGGGCTATTTCTATCTTTCAGTTAGTTGAAAAGAATTTAGAATTACATGTACTTATTGATACATTTGGAAGAACATGTTCATTTTTGCATGTACTTCAAAAGCCTTCCTCTCACTGCTCATCCTCTTCAGTCATGTTGTGTACGGTCCGCAGAATGATCTGTGGTAGCCATGCCTGTAGTCTAGAATGACTGAGCTTATTAAGTATAGTAAGCAAAGGCAAAGGAATGCTTATCAAGTAGCAGATAGATAGAGGCAGCAAATAACAAAACATCCTCAAATTGGGAATGTCGGCATCCAGCCTGACAGGATGAGAGCCTGACAGAGAGCAGACAGGGTAGCATCGTCAGACTGGGGCTTGCAGCTTCCAGCAGGGATGACTGGGGAAGCTGAGGCCATCCCGGGGTTCTAGCTGAGCTTTCTCTGTGTGGATGAGCTTCTATGGCTGGGCTTCTTGCTTCCATTCCTGTTGCAGGCATTTTATACTGTGGGACAAACAGTAGAAAACTATTGGAAATGGTTTCTTTTTAGCTGTGCTCAAGGATACTGCTTTTACGTTGGGCTGTTTGGCTGTTCTCTTTCCTCCCTGTCACAGAGTTGTGGGAGGCAGCCCAGCCCGGGACAAGGGGTTTGGAGGATACGTGTCATAAATATGCTTAGGTCAGGAATGGTGGTGAGGGAACACAGCCCTGCTTCCAAGCCAGCTTCTCAGTGAGCCCAACAGAACGTGACAGTTTGCCAAGATAAGGCACATTATTATGGAATAACCACTGTTCACATGTTGGTTGCTGTGTTTTCTCCAGGCTTCTTTTTCTATATTCTGTGTAGAAATTACTTATACATACTTTTTTCTTTAAAAAATACTTTATTAAGTTTTCTTATTTTATGTGTATGAGTGTGTTGATTGTTGCATGTAAGTGCACCCATGTTATGCAATGCCCATGGAGGTCAGAAGAAGGTATTGGTCCCCTGGAATTGGAGTTATAACGGTTGTTAGCCACTATGTGGGTGCTGGGAACTGAACCTCGGTCCTCTGCAAGAGCAGCCAGTGCTCTTAACCACTCCAGCCCCATACATACTTTTTTCAAACAAACAAAAAGTGTTATACATACTGTTCTGTAACTTGCTGCCCCCAGCATTTAATCTTGACAAATTTCAAACAGCAGTATGGAAATAAATTTTGTAGTGTAACACCTGAATGCTCTCATGTACCCGTAACTAATGTCTTCTTCAATAGACATATCACTAGCTAGAGTTCAGTATTGGTTTACTGTTTAGACCTTTTAAAGGTTAATTTATATGCCATGAAACATGTCAGTCTTAAGCGTACATTTATGAGTTTTGATTAAGTGTTTGATAAAACTTAATATGGTGCCATACTTTCATGATTACCAAGAGTGCTGTGTCCATGCACACCCCATTATGCATGTCTGCCTGTTCATTCTCCTGTACTTTTGTAGATACAGACATAAAACTACTATGTAAAAAGGCTTTCACATTTTATAAAATATTTTATTATTTTTATTGCATGTGTATGAGTGTATTGCCTGCATGTATGTAGGTGCATCCATGTGGTGCAAAGCCAGAGGAGGCCAGAAGAAGGCATCGGATTCCCTGGAACTGAAGTTGCAGACGGTTGTTACTCGCCATGTGGGTGCTGAGAATCAAACTTGAGTTCTGCAAGAACAGCTAGTGCTCTTAACTTCCGAGCCATCTCTCCAGCCCCGCTTTCACATTTTGGTAGGCCAAAGTGCCCTCCCAAGATGACTGTGTGACTGTATCAGTTTATGTGCAGGTCAGTGCATGAGAGTGCTGTTTCTCTTGTGCCCTCTCAACAATGGATAGATAGCATCTGTTCAAAAGTTTTTCTAATAGGTTACATGAAAACAAACCTAGTTATTTCATGCTTTCTATTAGATTTCTTTATGTTTGTGAGTTGCTTTTTATGTATGTACTTTGTGTGCTTCTTACCAATCACATAGTATAATATTTTCCAGAGATGCTGTGCTTTTAGTTTTCTTTTTGGTGTATTTTAATTTTTATATGGTCAGTCAGGGTTCTCCAGGTTTTGCTTGTGAAGGCCACCCTTCTTCCAAGCTTTTACACTTACTATTTTCTTCCAAAGTTTGTTTTTTATTGAAAATTGGAAGAGAAAGAGAAATCATTATGAACTGAAGTGCCAGGAAAAATTTTGTATGAAAAGTGAGATTCAAATTAGCTTTGAGTTATGCATTGACTTTACAGAGTCTGCAGAACAGTAAGGACTTCTCAGACAGGAGGGGTGACGATGGCACACGTTCCTTGTGCCCGGGAATAGCGATGAAACCAAAGTGGCCGGTCAGAGAACCAAGTTCAGAAATTCGTGCTTGAGTACACTTCTGGTTAGCTACTTTGGCCAATCTTGTTTATTTTCTAAAATATTCATTCTGATGTTACAGTATTCTGTCACACAGTGGTTTCTTTATCATTTTCTCTCCTTGGTGACTTGAACATTTTTCCTGAGGTGGGGAAGCAAGAGTTGCCTGAAATGGTAAGAAAGGAAAGGTTCGGAGTAATTGAACATCGTAACTATTTCCTCAGGACAGTTTACTACAGTTGAATTACAATTTCTTTAAGACTAGTTTATGCTGTAGTAATTTACATCAATATGAAGTTAGTCACCATACCCAAGTATAGTTACCAGGTAGCAATCTTTAAAAATGTTGACGTACCAGTGTGTCCACTAGTCACTTCAAAGTTTGACTATGAGCTCATCATTTAATGCACAAATTAGTATGTTGGGATCTCCAGCTAATGAAAGTATCTTACACATGCCGCCCTTCAGCTGGAGCACAGCACTGTTCAGTTGGGTTGTTGCTCGGGATGTGTAAGGTTGTGTAATAGTTTCTGTTCAGCCGTCAGCCACACCTGTGGATGTTAGCTGAGTGGACTGAGCACGCCACTCTGCCAGCTGCACGGCTGTGGTTGGCTGTAATCTCGTGTGAAGTACTTAGAAGACCACTGTTTTCCTTTCTGCAGCCTACTGTAAGGATTATGCAGTGCTAGTTTTTACTAAGCAGGTATTTATTTTCAATATTCAACTTTCTGTTCCTTGTTTAATTTTGGGGGGCTCACTTTTTCTTGGGGGTGTTTGTCCTTTTAGCATTTGCTATCTATATATGTTTTCATTCAGGGAAATAGACCTATCTTAAATGATTTTTGTCACATGATTTTCTGTTGCGAGAGATCGAGATCTTTTAATTAGAAAAAGATTGTTGTTTTCTGGCAAAAGGAATTAAAAATAGAGTTCAAAAGATGAATATTTGATTGTTTTCTCACTTGTTTAGCAGTCTTGTCTTTTGCTTTCTAATGTTAATAAAATTAGAAATGAGCCATGAAATTACTACAGCCTGTGTAATGATTGGCATTCTATTTTTGTCCTAAGTAGAACCAAAGCACTGTAAGATAGAAAGTAAATGAAGTTAATATTATCAGATCTGTTGTGAGACAGAGCCTCTGTCATGTTTTATAGCTCTTGATAGTTAGCAAGGCTGTAAAAATGTTAACGTTACATTTGAAGCCAGCCTGGGCTACATACCAAGACCCTTTCTCAACTTCCCAACCTCTTAAATTGACATTCTTTGGAATGTTTCTCTTTTCAGCTGTGTAGGTTTCTTACCAATTATATCTGAGCTCCTTCAGTTTTATAAATAATGATTCCTAGAAAATTATGCTTTATCTTCTCTGATTTTCTTTACTGATCAGACTTCTAATTTTCTAATTAAAAGGTAATGAAGGCCAGTTTTTACTTTTTAAAAGGCCTAGGCACTGTTCCTGTTTTAGAATTCTTACGCAAATACCAATTTGGACCTTATCTGATTTGAATTGTTGAGTGTATTACATTTGAGTTCTTGTCCTTTTATAATTTTTGGAAAAGAATTTTAATTTTTGGGGTGGTGCTGGGATTGAACATGAGAGACAAGAATTTTATACCTTAGCTACACCTTTTTTTTCTTCTGTTGCCTCAGTTGTTTGAGGTTTCTAAGGATGAGGAGAGGTAGTCTTTGAAGCTTACAATGCCCTTCATCTTTGTTTTGGTAGCCTGTGGCTCTGCTGAACATCAGCAGGCCTCAAGGGATAGTACCCTGAGGCCTCAGTGCAAGATGAATTATTCTTAGGGTGGAAATAATTTCTGCTATCACTTGCAGATCTGGGAGTTAATTTTGACTTCCTTGACTCCTACTAGTAAATCCATTGGTGAGGTTCACTGATTTGATTTGATTTCTTCAGTTGGTCTCTAAATTAATTTCGACATTTTATTCTGTAGCCTAACTGATCTCTCTTTAGTTTTATTTTCCACACCAGAACTTCAGTAGTTTATTCAAAGTACAAATCTTACTTCGCCCCCACCCTTGATCGCTTTCCTGTGCCTAAGCAATGTAATTGCTGTCTTGTTTCCTTCATGGTGTGGCCCTGCCCTGTATTTCTTCCAGTTACTGTGGGCAGGAAGCTTGACTAGGCTACCTCCGCAGTGCCCGCTCAGGTTCATCCAACTACTGTCACCAGGGTTCTTTGCTTAACTTCTGCTCCTCTTTTAGGACTGAGCTCAGTTTGCATCCCTTACAGGAAGTCTTGCTGGAATCCTGATGTAACTAGGCCCCTTCTGTGTACTTATTGACAACTTGTTCACAGATCTGGAACTTAACTGTATTATGTTAACCCCTCTCTTTTAAGGACTTATTCCAGTTTAGACTTAGTTCATTTACTATGTCTTACTCTTATTTTAACCTACAATATCTAGCAAGTGGTTGGCATGTAGTGGAGGCTCAATGAATGAACACTTGATCAGCAAGAAAGTTCAACTCACGGTTGAACTCACTGTTGTAACATTGACGTCTTAGTAAGTAGAGTGGGTTAGTGTCTTTGAACTAGCAGTTGGTCAACTGTATCCTGTGCCTGGAGAACATTTTCTTGGCTTTTGAACCTTGTGAAGAATTATTCAGTGGATCTTGAATGGGGTTTGGGAATATGTCTTGTTTTTAAGCTCTCTACTTCATTCTAGTTTGCTTATTGAGTTAAGAATCAATGTCCTATTTTATAAATTTTAAGTGCCGCTAGACAATTACAGTAATTTACTATTTAAGCTTTATAAGTTGTATCTACTACAGAATGGATGTTTTAAGTCACTTTATGGACATCACATGTATAGAAATTTTGACTTAACTTGGAGACTATCTTACTTGGGGAGCTGTTGGTGATTGATAGCACCCTACGTAATAAAACCCGTTCGTTGTTTTTAGGTATTTCATTTATTATTTTTATTTTATCTATATGTGTGTATTGCCTGCATGTAGGTGTCGTGCAATGCCCGTGAAGCACAGAAAAGGCTGGAGTTACCGACAGTCGTTAGCTGCCTTCTGGGTGCTAGGACTCGAACTCTGGTCTTCTGCAAGAGCAGTCAGTGTTCTTAACTGCTGAGCCATCTCTCCAGCCCCCTGTAATGAAGCCCATTTGAACAGGAGCTTCTTGAGTTGATAGTAATGAGATTAGTTGGGCTTCATCCCATGAATTTTAGTAATTTGCAATTTTCAGTTTTTTGTTTGTTTTGTTTTTTAAAATATTTTTATTTTATGTGGAAAAGTATTGCATGAATGTATGTAAGAGTACCTGTATCCTGCAGTACCCACGGAGATCAAAAGAGGGCATCAGATTCCCCTGGAACTGGAGTCGCGGATGATTGTTAGCTGCCATGTGGGTGCTGGAAATTGAACCTGGGTCTACTACAAGAGCAGCCAGTATTCTTAACTGCTGGCTGAGCCAGTCTCTAGCCCCCTGGTTGATTGTTTTTGGTACGGGGTCTTCCTGTAGCCCCACATGATCTGGAACTCCCTATGTAGACCAGGCTGGCCTTTATCTCACCAGAGATCTGCTTGCCTCTTCCTCCTGAGTGCTGGGATTAAAGGCCTGTGCCACTTCCCCTGGCCCTGCAATTTTTACTTTTATTTTAGCATTTCAATGTGATTTTTAAAATATTTTATCGTGGTTTGCAGTCCATAAGTTTTAAGTGTGTAGTGTTAATGTGTGCATTTGCATATACCCACAAAGTACTACCCAAATTAAGTTGCCCTTTAGAGATTTCTGCAAGTTCCTTTCCATTAAAACATACCCCTTCCCAAGGTAGGCAGTATTTTGATTTGTGTGACCTTCCCTCCATCTTATGGTTAAAGCTACTAAGACTTTGGTATGTAAAATTTTGCTGCACACACTCATTCTTTTTCTACACATGGAATTGCTGAGTTAAGGGTAATGCATTTTCACTTGAGCAGACAATGCTGACTTGCACCTTTAATAGCAATGATTTATAATGATAACTAAAATTAAATTATTTGAAGATTTTGGCAAAGTTTCTATTTGTTCTCGTGTTTATTATATAGACAAAACCCAAATATAAAGAAAACTCAGTAAATGTTATTATGTAGTTCCCAGAAGTACAATTTTTAATCAGATCCTTTTTTCTATGTCAGTAACTTTTTCTTTTTCCCTCTTAGGGTTGTCTTTCCCTGTGGGTTGGCAAGCAGTTACAGGACTGCACAATGGGTCTGCGGATTCACTTTGTTGCTGACCCACATGGTTGGTGCTGCATGGGTTTGATTGTCTTTGTCTGGTTATACAATATTGTTTTAATTCCCAAAATTGTCCTCTTTCCTCACTATGAAGAAGGACATATTCCAGGCATTTTAATAATAAGTAAGTTTCTAAGTTTATATATTTCCTTATATAAAGATTTTTTTTTCTCATTGTGAATGTTTTAAAAGTATAGTGTCACCATGACTTTCCTTGAATATATTACTTCAGTAGTCGAATTAATGTTATATATTAAATTATGGCAGTTTGAAAAACAATAGATTTTCTGTATTTGCAGAGTTAAAGTACTAACTCCATATTCATCTAATTCTGAAAAGTATATGAAAACCATTTGGTTTAGGAGAAAGGCCTGACAGCAGTAATATTTTTGTTTTGTAATCATTGCAAATGTGGAAGATGGCTGATATTTTGAGACAGAGTCTATCTGCATAGTCTAGGTTAGCTTCAAATTTGGTAATCTTTCTGCTGCCTCTTGAATGCTGGGATTACAAGTGTGTACCTCTGTGCTTGACTTAAAAATATAGACATTTTAAGAAAGGGGATGAGATACATAACTGGAAGATGAGAATCTCACGATACTGAACTCATTGATGGAGTTGGTTGTCATAGCAATTTGAGCTTCTGGATAATCATTTTCTGCTGTAGTCCATGACTTGTTTATGTTGCAAAAAAATCAGATCAAAATGGTATATTATATAGGTGTATGGTGTTTAAAGCTTTCTTGCCTGTCCTCTAATTTTAATCTCCTAATGGCTATGGGAAATGCAATCTATAATATACAGACGATAAAACTAATCCATATAATCAGAGGTTATGACGTATGCCTGTAGTACAGACAGATAGACGGCCAGTATTATGCAGTCAGCCCTGCAGTCAGTGGGTACTCAAACTGCTTCCTTTTACATGTGCAGTGTGTTTGTTTCTATTCCCTTAACAAAATGCCTATGTTTTAATTTAAAAAGTGAAATTAGGGCCGGGCGTGGTGGTGCATGCCTTTAATCCCAGCACTTGGGAGGCAGAGGAAGTGGATCTCTGTGAGTTCAGGACAGCTGGGGCTACAGGGAGACCCTGTCTCAAAAAGACCAAAAATAAAAAAGTGAAATTATGGCAACTGAATCTCAGATTTTCCTTAATATTATTTTAAAGTTCAAATTTTTCTAATTCTTGATTCTCTAAGTCTCTTAAGTTCCATCAAAAGTGACAATTGAATATCACTAATTTAGAGTAATTTTGAAGATAGAATTGAAGAAAGGTTAAATGTAGACTATTAGAAAGATGTTGTTTTGATCCTTTCAAATAAAGTACATGTAATTAAATGGGAACCAGTCTTTTGTACCATTTTTAGGAACCACTGTTTGTAAAGAATCTCATTTATAGCAAGTTTATCAGTTATTTTCAAAATAATATTTTAAGTTGATACATGTATTGTAGACCTCTTTGCCATATTTATGAGTGAAATTTCATTTTTTCATCTAATCTTTTGAAGGTTATCCCAATGGGATTAATTAAAATATGTTTTTAAACTTTAAATATGCTTGTCAAGAAGATGTCTTAAAGAGTGAATGAGTAATTTCTTTAATTTTGTCATTTTGCAGTATTCTATGGCATTTCTATATTTTGTCTGGTGGCTTTAGTGAGAGCCTCCATAACTGACCCTGGAAGACTCCCCGAGAACCCCAAGATCCCACATGGAGGTGAGGCACCCTTTGTACTTCCCCATTCTGTTGATGCTGGAATTACTACCTTTAATAGCACATTCATTGCCTTTAATACATACTTTATATAAGTCCGTGGCATCTCTTTGACATCTGCGCTCCTGTCTGCTTTCAATTGCAAGCCAGCCCCTCACACCCTCATTTTCTGACTCTCCTTTCCCTTTGCCCTGGATTCATGGATCCTGAGCATGGGGGTTTTGTTCTGGCACGTGTGCATGCATGACGGTGTTCAGTACTGTATCCCCTAATCTCCAGTCTCTGTCACATACCAATAAATATTTGTTGAGTGAAATACAGTTATCTGAGAAATTCTAGTTAAGAAGTATCTTGTTGCTGCCATTCAAACTGCAAAAATAAATTAAAATGGATTGCTTATCTCATACCATATGTAAGCTCATTTAGCTTTCTCTTGAGCTCGTTTTTTTGGTATTTACTATTAACTTTGAGAGCTCTGTACTTTGCTATATGTTTTAGTGTAATTTTAGAACTAGAGTACATTTTATAGTGATTTAGTGGCTCCCAAGTTTGCATATTAGAATTACCTGGGGAACTTTAAAGAATCTATGTCCAGTGCTGGGCGTAATGGCACACTCCTTTAATCCCACTACTCACGAGGGAGGCAGAGGAGACCGATCTCTGAGATGGAGGCCAGCCTGGTTTATATAGTGAGTTCTAGGCCAGTTGGGGCTATAGAGACACACTGTCTAAAAAACAAAAAAGAAAGAAAGAAAAAAAAAATCTGTGTCCAGGTCACAACCCATATTAATTAAATCAGAATACCTAGGTATAGGCACAAGTACTAGTCTTTTGAAAGATCTCCTGTGATTCCAGTGTATAGCAAAGTTTAGAAACCAAAGTAGCAAGTCCATATGAAATAAGATTGACAAGTCACTATACAGAACCTTCCTGAAGTCCTGATTCTTCTTTTTTTTTTTTTTTTTTTTTTTTTTTTTTTTTTTTGTTTTATTGTTGTTTTTAGACAGGGTTTCCCTGTAGAGGTCAGTAGCCCCAGACCAAAGAAACAGACTTTCTAACTCTGGACCCATTTCTGAAGAACTCTTTTTTTTTTCAGTGATCAAACACTCAAGTATCTATAAGATTCCTGACACTGCCAGTCAGTGAAAGAGGCTGTCTAAAGGGAGCAATTTCCATTAGAGTCCTTATTCACCCAGTGTTACTTCCTTAGTCCCGTTTTCTCCTGAGCCTTCCTCAGAATTGCCTGGATGGCTCTGCTTACAGTATTCTAGTCTTCTGGCCTGTTCCTCTAAACTCTTCCAGAAACAAAGCCAGCTTCACATTTAGGGATAGTTATTATAACAGTCCTACCCTTAGAATCCCGTTTTCTGTTAGTTTTGTGTTGCCATAATGAAATAACCAAGGGTAGCTACTTATGAAGGAAAGAGGTTTATGTAGCTCATACTCTGGAGGTTTAGGAGAATGGTATCTACCCTGCTCAGCTTTGTGTGCATCATACCATGACGATGGCAGTAGCGGGAATGCCTGCAGGAGCATTCCCGGTACTGAACAGAGACCAGGTTCATAAGAACTTACCCAGGAGGTTAGTATCCCTTCTGAGTCAGCCCCTACCATGACATAGGGTCCTCCCATCTAGACCCACTTCTCAAAGATCCCATCAGTTTTCACATTGTCACATTCACTACCAAGCTCTCAACAAATAGACCTTTGGGTTCAAACCTCATCCAAACATGTGCAACAGGGAATCTCAATTTTTATGAAAAATTTCATTATTAAAAAAAAAAAAAGGCTAGCCTGGTGTAATTCCCACACTCCAGGGGTTTATCTTGAGTTTGAGCGCAGCCTGAAGTACTTAGTGACATCCTTTCTCTCAAAAAAAACAAACAAGGCTGGGTGTGGTGCTCAGGAAGCAGAGGCAGGTAGATCTCTGTGAGATCAGCCAGATCTACATAGTGAGTTCCAGGCCCTATTTCAAAACAACAAAACAAAACAAAAGCCATAAACCAATCAAACAAATTAAAACCCCACTTACAAGAAAATGCTAGGTTCAAACTCTAGCACTGAAAAAATAGTAAATAAACCAGCAAGTAAAATTAAACCATTTAGAACATGTGAACACTAAACAAATAATATCTTTTAAAAAAAGATTTATTTATTTTATGCATACATGTGTGGGCCTGAGAGTATGTATGTGTACCACATGTTGTGCAGGTGTCCTTGGAGGCCAGAAGAGGATGTTAGATCCCCTGGGCCTGGATATACCCGCATTGTAAGCCACCTGATTTGGATGCTGGATATGGAGCAGAAGCACTAAGCCCTTTCTCCAGCCCCACAAATAACATCTTAATGTCTGGAAGCCTTACTTAAGTCCACATGAAACCACTGTGTTATCTTTATAGACTGCTAATAGATGACATCAAGCAACTGGTTGACTTTTTAAAGGCACACATTTTGCTTTATATGACAGCGGCAGTTTTTCTTTCCCACAGTTCGAGAAACTCCTCCATTGCCCAGTAAAAAAATCCAGCCACTCTTTATCACATTCTAATGTTTTCAAAGTCTGTATATCTCATATCACATGATTCTCATGATAATTGGGTTAGTGTGGCTGGTCCTAGATTGTGCAAAGCAACTGGAGTGTCCCACAACTGGTGACACAGGACCTTGTCTCATCTTCTATCAATAGATGAATAATTTTCACTCCTGCTTTGTCTTTGCTATAATCTGGGGGAAAATTGGCTTCATCATGTACTTTTTGGCGCTGATTATCTTATACATTTGTAAATATGATTTTTTTTTTTTTTTTGGTCTGTTTGAGACAGGGTCCCCTTGTAACCACAGCTGGCCTGGATTCACTATGGAGACCAGGCTGTCCTTGAACTCACAGAGATCCACCTGCCTCTGCCTCCCATGTGCGGGGATTAAAGGCGCACACCACCACACTTGATTTGTAAATATGATTTTTATTTTAACATTGAAAAATAATATGACATAGCAAATGTCGAGGCATAGAATTACAATTTTTATTTAGGAAATGTATGGGTTGAGCAGATTCAGGTATTGAATTCTTCATAAAAAGAAATAGCTCTAATACTTTGTATTAGTCACTTTTCTTTTGTTGTGATAGAAACACTTACCCAAGCAATTTATAGAAGGAAGAGTTTATTTGAACTTAACGGTTCCAGGGGAATTACATATATGCAAGCAAAACACTCATAAAAAATTAAAGTATTTAAAAAACCAAACATATCTCCTTAGCATGAAATTCTTTCATCTTTAATAAATGTTAGAAATAGATGTATACCAAATAAATGTTTAGAATTTTTATTTATTAGTGTTCTAGTTTCTTTTCAATTGCTGTGACAAAACACTCTGACCAATATCAACTTGAGGAGGAAATGGTTTATTTGAATTATATCTCCGGGGCACAGTTCATCTCTGAGGGAGCCCAAGATAGGAACTCAGGACAGGACCCTGGAGGCAGGAACTGGAGTGCAGGCCATGGAGGAATGCTGCTTACTGGCTTGCTCCCCTGGCCCGAGCTCAGCCTGTTTTCTTATACAATACAGGACCACCTGCCTGGGGTGGTGCCATCCTCAATGGGCTGGGCCCTTCCACATCGCTCAACAATCAAGAAAATGCCACAGACCAATAGAGGCAATTCCCCAACTGAGGCTCCCTCTACCCAGATGTGTCAGGTTGACAACTAAGCTATCCAGCATTATCACTATGTTTGATTTGTATACCTATATACCTGGAATTATAGAAATATTTCTTTGGTTTATAAGTGAGAAAATTTAGAAAACCCTGGTATGGGTGACAGAATTCCAGCTTTCTGTCTATAACAAATGCCCTCTCTCCTGAGGATCCAGTTTGTTAGGCATTGAGCCTAAGCATTTATTGTTTAGACTGTTAGGAATTTATCAGAAAATAATAGAATGAAAACACTATATGCTTTAAAGATTTGATTTACAGAGTTTTTATGTCATCTTTTTTATTTGTTTATTTAATTTAATTTATTTTTATTTATTTATTTTTATGTTATGAGTGTATGTGAGTGCACCCATGTCATGCAATGCCACAGACATCAGAAGAGGGCTTTGGATTCCCCTGGAACTGGAGTTAAGGATGGTTCATAGCCACCATGTAGGTGCTGGGAATTGAATCCACGTCCTCTCTGCAAGAGCAGACAGTGCTCTTAACCACTGAGCCATCTCTCCAGCCCCACCCCCCATGGAAATTGACTCAGTGGTGGAGAGCGTCCTGGTGGTGTCCTTGCTGTGTGTGAATTTCGAATGTTAGTGCTGGATGTTTGATTATGTTGAGCCAAGCCAGCAGAAGAGTGATGCGTTTGGGCATCATATGTTACACCATAGATGAATTTCCATTTTACTTACAGTTAAGTATTAGCTGTATTTAAATTCAGTTGTTAATATTGTTTCTCTCACATGATGTTTTTATTAAAAGAAAACTGTAAGATATGATTTTAAGATGCTATTATAAATGCAAATGATTTGTCAACTTTGATATTAAAACATAGTTTGATGCAGATTTTATTTGTACATACTGGTTTCTTTTGAAATGTCTATAGCAGTGTGTTTTCCTGGCATTTTACTCTATAAAATTGGAGTCTGTTGATTGATACCCAGCCATTAAACTAAACAACAGAATTCAAATAGGGAGTTTATTCAGAAAATTGAACACTAATATCTTTTTAAATTTTTTAATTAATTAATTTTTTTATTTTATGTGTGTTATGCCTGCATGTATTTAAGTGTACCTGTGCTGTGCAGTGCCGGTGGAGATCAGAAAAGGGAATCAGATTCCCTGAAACTGGAGTTACAGACAGTTGTTAGCTACCATGTGGGTGCTGGGTTTTGAGCTCAGGTCTTCTGCAAGAGCAACCAGTGCTCTTAACCACTGAGCCATCTCTCCAGTCCCATTATTATCTCCTTTAACATTTATTTCGAGTCTTTTATTTTAAATTTTCATACTTCAACAAGTACCTCGGAGTGCGGGGCCACATTGTACCTGTTCTTATTCACTTGGAACATGAGAACTAGGGTGATTTTACTGTGCCATCCATTAAATGAGGTCATGGGGTGGTGTGTGTGTGTGTGTGTGTGTGTGTGTGTGTGTGTTTGTGTGTGTGTTATAAATATAAGTACTGAAAAACTTAAGAATTTTATAAAATATGCATTTGTGTAAGAAAGCAGTTGTTTTAGGAGACTTTATAGTTTTTAATGGGCCTGATTAGGACAATATATAATGAAAACAAGTATCTTTTCTTTTTACTTACGCAAATCTCAGGTTTTTAACATCGAATTTAATTGTATACTGCTTTCTTGAAGACCAGAGGGACTTGCTAGTGGGTAAGAGGATGAAGACTTAAAAAGCACTCTAGTGCTAGGAGTGGTGGTGCAGTTTATAAATTCAGACCTTGGGCGGCTATGGCAGGAGTGTTGCTGGTTCAAGGCCAGCTGGGGTGGCATAGGAGGACTCCATCTCATAAGAAAAGATAAAACCAATCCCATCTTCCCCTACCTTTTATTTGCATTAATTACTAATGTTTTCTTCTAACCTCCACTTCTTTATTCTGTTAACTTCTAAACCCATCTGCCCTCTAGTCAGCTTCTGTGCAGCATTCCCAAGTTAGTTAACATTAAAAGTAAATGTCTTAGGGAAGGATTTGTGGGATTGATTTCAACTTATCTACTAAAATCAGGACTCAGCATTATTTATTTGTTAGTACTTTTAGATAATAAAATTTATCATTTTTTATTTTATTATTTTATTTTTTATTTATTTTTGGTCTTTTTGAGAAAAGGTCTCCCTGTAGCTCCAGCTGGCCTGGAACTCACTATGTAGACTAGGCTGGCCCGGAACTCATGGAGATCCACTGCCTCTGCCTCCCAAGTGCTGGGATTAAAGGTGTGCACCACCATACCTGGCAAGATAATAAAATTTCTATAAATTAATTCATCTAAATAAAATTCTTTTAATATAATAACCTGATTGAACTTAAGATTTTAGATTTTAGATTTTTGTTTATTCTAATAATTTGTCTGAAACTATTGCATTCTGTGATTTACTTTGTAACAATAGTGTCTTATTTTTGTAGCGTTTAAGAGAAACAAGCTGCACATAATTGTGCAAGCCTTTAATCCCAGCACTTGGGAGGCAGAGGCAGGAAAATCTCTGTGAATTCAAGGCCAGCCTGTCTTACATAGGGAGTTCTAGGCCAGCTGTGGCTACAGAGAGACCCTGTCTCAAAAAAAGACAGAAAAATAGAAACATAAAAGCAGAATAGGTAGCCATGTTTATGGCAAAGAATTCACACTGAAGACTCAGAAAAAGAATAGAGATGTATGTTGAAGACCTACTGTGAGAACTCAGTAGTTGTTACTGAGTTTCAGCATTACTTTCTGCTTTCATTAAATGGATTTTAATTTCCTTCTCTAGAAAGGGAGTTCTGGGAATTATGTAACAAGTGTAATTTGATGAGACCAAAGCGTTCACATCACTGCAGCCGCTGTGGCCATTGTGTGAGGAGAATGGATCATCACTGTCCATGGTAAGCAAGGAAGAATTCAACGTTCACAACAATAGAAAACAGCCAGAAGCAGCTGGGTGTGGTAGTACACCTCTGGAATCCCAGCAGTCAGGAGGCTCAGCTAAGGGAAATAAGGAAGAACCATCTGAGAACTTAATAGGTTTAAGCAAAAATTGTGTTAGAGTTATTCCATTAAGAAACCCTTGGGGCTGGAGAGATGGCTCAGCGGTTAAGAGCACAACTGCTCTTGCAGAGGACCCGGGTTCCATTCCCATCACCCACATGGTGGCTACGAACTGTCCTTAACTCCAGTTCCAGGGGAATCTGAAGCCCTCTTCTGACCTCTGCAGCATTGCACGACACGGGTGCACTCACATACATGTGGGCAATACACTCTTGCACATAAAATAAAAATAGTAAAAATATAAAAAAAAAACTTGATGGAAAATGATTCTTTTAAAACTGTGAATGTAATTTTTCCACAGAGCTCTCATCTTGGCTAAATAGGAGACATTAGAATGGAAAACTTAAGAATTAACATGCGCCTAAATATACGGAAGGACTAAAGTGCTCATATTAAAATGTGGCCATGTATGTAAAGCATTTGGTACTTAAATCATCTCTTGCTCTACTTACTGCATGCTTAAATCACATATGCCCAGTATTTGTATTCCTCTTTCCTTACTCAATTAAAGAACAACACATTTCAAATACACAAGCAACGCCCTTCTACTCCTTATGCCTTCTAAGTGTTTGCTCTTCGATGTAGGTATTAACATTTTGTGCATGTTTAGATATAAATGCTAATTAGCTGTTTCTACTGAAGTGCCAACATTTTTTGTCAATAGGGGGCTCTATTGTAATGTTTAAAGAAAATCTGTTGAAAAATAGAATTTTGAAAATAAATGCTTTGAGAATCCTGTATTGTTTCTTATTTTAAAACTGTCACAAAAATCTGTGAACCAGATATTGTATTTAATTCTGGTTTCCTAGCATTGGATTTTACATAAATATTTAAACTGGTATTGGATAGCACTTTATAAATATATATATATAATACATATGTTTGTACACACATGTATGCACATATATCTGAAGTTAACTTCTATAATAGGCCTATTTAATTTATAACTTCTTCATCTACCTAAAGTTGGTTGATGAAGACAGTTAATTTTGCCTAGGAATGTTAATTTAATTTCCCTTTTTTGATAACTTATTTTAATAGCACTTTTAATTAGCATACTTTTAATGTAAATTTGGTTTTTACTATAAACTGTTTATTTAAATAGATTTCCTGAGATTAGAAGAGCATAAGAGCATTTTAAATAAAAGCACTTTAGTTTCCAAAGAAAGATGGTATAGTATATGACATAGTGTTCAAAAGATATGCCTCAAATTTTAAATACGTCAGCCCTAAGTAATTTTCTAAACCTTGATATGGTTACAATCACAATGACAGTATAGTTAAAATATTATGTGAAACCGCATCCAGATAGGTTGTAATAACACTGAAAAACTCAGCACCTTTTTATATTTTCCTGATTAATGAAAAAGGTAAGTATTCGTGGTACATTTGGGTATTGATGCTTCCTTGCAAAAGAATCCTCTAATATAAAGATTTAAAAACGAATCAGCTAGAATATATATTTGTTAAGAGTAGTGATATTTCTTATTTTTAAAAGATAAAATCTAGCTTGTTGGTGAGAAAGTGTTTATGTTGAACTGTAGCATCGAGGCGATTTCTCTGCTTTTAGGCTTCTTGTATCCAGCTTCAGTCAACTGTTCAGAGTAGGAGAGGGAAAGTGGAAGACTAGAGGGCTGGCAAGGAAGGCAGGTGAGGTCTGAATGAACTTAGGAACTTTCATGATCGAGTCCCTGGTAGAGCACTGCTGAGGTGTGCTGTGTGAGGGGAATTCACAGTGTTGGAACTGTCCAGCAGCTTTTCCTGGCCAGTTCTCAGATTGCCGGCAGTTTTCTGTGTCTGGCTCTGACCATTCTTTTTAAATAGTTAAACATTACCAAAAGAACTCACACGTACATTGAGTACCCTCCTGCTTCCTAGAGCTTGTGGGTTCAGAATACTGTTGTCATGTCAGTTTGTGCAGCCTTTTGGGGAGAGGCACGATGGGACAGCCTCAACTGTGAAAGGGCATTTTCCGTGCATGTGTGAGCTCACTTCACTTAAAGCCCTGTTTGCAGGTAGCAAAATGGCCCTAGCCAACTTGGAACTCACTGTGTAGACCAAGCTGGGCTTGCTCTCACCGAGATCTGCCTGCCTCTGCCTCCCATGTGCTGGGATTAAAGACACGCACCGCTCTGCCCCTGCCCCACTGGAATTTTAAACTAGACTTTTCTATTGGAATTTTCAAATGCTTTGAAAATTTGGGTAAGTTTGTAACAATAAAATACTTTAGATTGGCCTTGAAAATTTTAGGGTTATCAGCATTATGACTTTCCTTGATGTCGCTGTTGTTCTGGCAGAGTAGCTGGAAGTATTTGGAAGTATTTTGAATACTTTTTTTTTTGGTCTTTATGAGACAGGGTCTCCCTGTAGCCCCAGCTGTCCTGGAACTCACTATGTAGACCCAGCTGGCCTTGAACTCACAGAGATCCACCTGCCTCTGCCTCCTGAGTGCTGGGATTAAAGGCATGTGCTACCACGCCTGGCTCATTTTTATTTTTAACTGCCAGGGATAGATTTTTATAAAGTGAAAATGTAAAAAGTAGAATGCATGCTTAACAGTTGTGTCAGAGTGGCAAGTTTAAGTTGTTTTTCTCAAAAGTAGAAGTGTCAGAAGAGTTTTTCCATCTTGCCCTCTCGCCCCTATCTCTTCTGGCTGTGCATCCACTGGCTGGAAGTTTTTGTCCTTTATTTCTATTTCCAGATCATTGATGTGGGGACACAAGTCTGCTCTCCAAACTCACTGGGTTGCTGTGAGTTAAAGGAGTGCAGTCTCTAAGTTGGCTTCCTTTGTAAAGGAGAAAGTACTTTATAAATTTAGGGTGCCATATCTATATAGTTGGCTTTTAGACCTGGGTGAGACATATCTTCATGAAATTAAGGATATGTGGGTTTATTTTAGTCTTACTGATCCAGAAATGAACATCCTATTAATGTTTAAAATACTGTTTCTTTTTCATTTTTCCCTTCAGGATAAACAATTGTGTTGGTGAAGATAATCACTGGCTTTTTCTGCAGCTGTGTTTCTACACTGAACTTCTTACTTGCTACGCACTGATGTTTGCTTTCTGCCACTATTATTATTTTCTTCCACTAAAAAAGCGTAATTTGGTAAGATATGTTTATATTCACCAACATTAGAGCAGCTATAGTGTGTGACTGCAAACTTGGTGGCTCCTTTAAGTACAGAAGATGACAAGCAAAATCAAAAATGCATCCCAGTTTGGTGAATTTTAAAATAGATTGGACTTGAGAAAGTAGTCTGCTGTTTCCTTTAAGCAGATCTCTTTAGCATTATTTATGTTGATAGATTTCCTTAGAAAACAAAATATTAGCTTGTTTGATATATGTCTTGGTTTAACAAAAAAGCCGGGCATAGTGGCACATACCTTTAATCCCAGCACTGGGGAGGCAGGTGGATCTCTGTTAGATAGAGGCCAGCCTAGTCTACAAAGTTCTGAAGACAGTAAGCTAGGAAGTAAGTATTCCACTGGCTAGTTGCAGAGTTGGAATTTGAACCCAATATTGTATTATTTTTCCATTTTATTTCTACCTGGATTGTATTTTTAAAAATTTCATATGAGACAGAGACAAAGAATGCACAGGACATAAGGGAGGAAGGGAGACTAAAAACTGATGGAGGAGGGTCATTTTTCATTATTACTCACACAAGTTTATACTATGCAAATTTTTTTATATCAAATGCGCTGGTGATACATATAGTTAAATTTCGGAATAAGAGTGATGGAAAGCCTTAATTCTCTGTGTTTGGGTTATTTTAGTATACATGATAATTTTCAGTAATTTAAGGAAATTTGCTATCGCTATTGGGCCACTAGTGGGTCTTTGTTTTGATTATGATTATTAGATATGGGTCTTGTAATTAAAAGTAGGCATAATAACTGAAAAAATTCAAAAGAGGATTTTTCCTTTTGATGGTAGTGATGATTCCTCTAGAACCTTGTGTGGGCTGGGCAGCTGGGCAGGCGCTCTGCCGTGACCTATATTCTCAACTTGCTTTTCACTTTTGATTTTGAGACAGGGTTACACTAAGTTGCCCAGACTGGCCTTGAACTTACTGGGATGCCTATCCAGGCCTTGAATTTGTAGTCCTCCTGTCTCAGCTCCCCCAAAGAGAGAATTTTTAATATAGGTACTTGGCATGTTCACATAATTCTGGCATAACTGGCATTGCAGTTAAAACGCGAGTCTTCCAAGTGCATGTTTCTATTCTAATTAAGCCTAAGAAGAAGAATCTTAAAATAAAAGGACTCAGTAGAGTTAAGATCATAATTTTTTTAAAAAGTAAGAGGAAAAATAAACACATTAGCGGTACTAATGGAGAAGTAATGGTCTCTAGGAGAGAACGCACTGAGCCCTAGTAGGGGCTGCTGACCTGTCCTGGGTTTAAACCGGCCCTAGTTTTTCAGTGTTCTTGGTAATAAGGTTTTACTGCAGAAAGCTACTCTTGTTTGTTCATGCACTGTCCGTGACTGATTTTGTGCTAAAACCAAGTTGGACAGTTGTGACAGAGACTGTATGGTGGCCAGAAAACCCAAGTATTAAGTATTCGGCTCTTTGCATTCGATTTTCCAACCCCTGGTAGTGGAAAGATCACTTTGAAAACAGACACACTTAGGATCAAAGGCCTAACTTTTCTTGTTCTTGTCTAACCTCTGACAGATTGTTTGACCCTTCTGATTTGTAATTTCATTTTCTGAAAACTGTGAATAATAATGAACCTAAATAAGTTAATATATGCACCTAGGCAAGGTAGTTTATGCCTGTAATCCTAGAACTTTGGAGGCTGATGCAGGAGGATCAGGAGTTCAATGCCAGCCTTCGTCAGCTACATAGTAAGTGAGACCTTGTCTCAAAAAAATAAATAAATAAATAAATAAAAATCAAAAAAGAAAAACAAAATGATAATATATGCAGAAATGCATGGTAATAGATGTTTAGCTTATAGTATGTTTGGTTTTTTGAAAACTCTCAGACTTTCTTTATATGAACATTTTACAAACCATTTAACAGTGCTGGGGAATTGATGACAGATTAAAGAAATATCAATAATCAAATAGGAATAAAATGATAATACTTAAGTGAAGGATTAAGACATTTGGAAGTGAAAACAAATTTATTTTTTAATATGAAAAACTTTGTTGCTTTGTAAAACTCTTGGATGATGGCCTAGGTGGTGAAGTATTTGCCTTGTAAGCATAAAGACCTGAGTTTGATCCCCTAGTCACTCAAATGTGGGTGTGACTGAGTATAGTGGCCCATTCTCCTAATTCCAGTGCCAGAGAGGCAGAATCAGAAGGATGTCTGGGGCTCACTGGCCTAATTGGTGAGCTTTAGCCCAGTGAGAGACACTGCCTAACATCAAGTGTGTGGCCTTCCTGAGAGCGACACCTAAGACTCTATGCCTAGCAGTGCTGAGCGAGTATTATTCTCTTAGCTTAAAACTTAAGTATCCTTTTTGCATTAAGTGGATTGCTTAATAGAATGTCATTTTCTTTTCTGAGATTTGAGGCAATGAAATGGAAACTTAAAAAGTTTTCCAAGATCATTTTGTAAGTCATTGAAGAATCAGTGTTTTAAAATCTCATTCAGGGGGCTACAGTGATGGCTCAGTGTTAAGAGCGCTGGCTGCTGGCGCAGAGGATTTGTGTTCAGTTCCCAGCACCCTCATGGTGGATGATACTCATGTGTAACTACAGTACCAAGGGACCTGATGCCCTTTTCTGGCCTCCACAGGCATCACGCAACACGGGTGCACTTACACACATGCAGGTCCTATAAAGCTAAAAAAAGAAAATCTTACTGAGAACGAATTCTCTGCGTTGGGATGGTGGTTCAGTCCTATAGTCCTGCCCTTGGGATGCACCAGGAGGATCACCACTGAGTGAGGCAGCCTGGGCTACGTAGTGGGTTCCAGGACAGCATGCTCTTCTTTACTGCCTTCGCTTCAGCTCTCCTGGAGCAGATTTCTCCTAGTTCTCATAAACCTGAAAATACCTTTATTTCTTCTTCAGTTTTAAATAGAGTCTTGGTTGGCACAGGATTGTAGGGTAACAATATCAGTTCCAAAGTGTTTCCCATTGTCAGCTGTTGGTCTTAGTGCTGCTTTTTCCTCTGGCTGCTTTCATGCTTTGATTTGATCTGTGGTTTTTAGCTCTTACTCTGCAGTACCATGATATGCCTCCACGTTGCTTCCTTTGTACTTTTCTGTTGAATACTTTGTGTAACTTCTTGAACCTATGCCTGATGACATTCTTGAGTTATGGGATTTTTCTTGTGTGTTTCACGTAAATATCCTGTCCAACTTTGTTGCTTACAGTTCTGAGATTCTAATTATATATGAATAAGGTCTCATTGCACTGTGAGTCTTCGGGTTCTCTTCTGCATCCCCTCCCCCAGTTCAGTCTGATTATTTTCTATTGACTTCTCTTCTGATTTACTAACCATAGCTTTTCTGTTCTAATCTATTCAGTTTTTAATTCTGTTATAGTATCTTGTACTTTTAGAATTTACACTGGACGTTATTTTTCATTGGTCACTTTTCTAGTGGAATTCTTCAGATCATCATTTTCTTGAATATTTGAATTAAAGTTCTTTTAATGTCTGATAGTGGTCCTGTGCCCTGACATGTCTAATGCATTTGTATTGGATACTGGGAGAATTATATGGAAAACTTGTATATTTGCTTGTGTTTTGTCTACAGGTTTGATTTATTCTTACTTGTTTTTGTATAAAAGAGAAGGTTCACCTTGACTCAGTCAGGGTTAGATAACATGTTTTTCTAATACTGAATTGGGCTTAGTACAGCGGTCTTTTTGGAAGGTCTTATTATTGCATTAGTTAGTATTTTGTAAGGATGTAGCTGGATTGACTTGATGAAGGACTAGTTTGTTTACCTTCCCCTTGCTGTATCCCTCAGCATCTCAGCTGAGGAAGTCTGAGGTGTCCATTGTGGATTGTACCAACCAGTTGCTCCCCTGTGAAGATGGAAAGCAGTACAGATCATAGCACTCCCCTCAAGGCATGTCTGCTTTCTGTGATCTTCGCCTTCTAGGTTCTAGCTAGTTTGGCTGCTTCCTACTGTCTTCCAGTAGCTGTTTATGGATTGGATTTTCTCCGACTTTTCAATGTCAGGAAGGTTATCCTCATACAAAGGATTCTCTTAGGTGTCAGTGGCAATAACAGCTTGTGAAAGTTTCTTCTCAGGTGATCTGTTCACTATTGCCCAGTTCTGCAGTACTAGCAGGGCCTGTTGGTGCCATAGTGTAGTCCTTGTGTGTCGCAAAACTTACGTGGCCCCAAGGTTTGAGTCCCGTTAGGCTCTCAGCAGATTTTGTAAGTGAGATAGAGATTAACAAAATGGAAAGAAGAAAAATGTCTGTGGGAGACAAGAAAGCTACAAAATTGAAATGGTCACATTTCAGGTTAAATCTGATTACAGCAAGTATTTGTAAGGCTAAATAATAGTACATTGTTCTTTTTCGAAATATATTTTTATTGAATTTTGTGGATTTCATATAATACATCTTCATCATACTTAGCACCCCTTTCCCTACCTGCACCTCCCCATAGCCCGCCTAATGGACTTCACGCATTTTGTTCTTTTTATAGACGTTCTTTTGGAGATGGCATTGTTTTTCTTTTAAGGCAGTAAAAAACCAACCACCAATTTCAGTCCAGAAGTACCATTAGCACCATTGATCTTTTAAGAATGTTTTATACTGGAATCTTCAGTAATTTTATTCTATCTGTATTTTGTGAGTCCTTCCTTGTACTCATCATTGTTCCTACAACAAACAAGAAACTGGAACCAGCTCTCGTGTGTGCTAGCTGGCCGCAGGGTGCAGCCTCTCTCTCACGGTAGCACCCTTTGTCACTTGGGGTGTAGAATGGAGACCCTCAGCACACGTGAGTGTCGGTGGCTGCTGTGCATCATTCATGGAGGCCTTTGGTCTTTGGTCAGCCTTAGAGAAGCGAAAGGCTTTAACCTGTGTTTCTTTATACCCTCTCAGGTAGGCAGATGGCAGCAGAGTATCTTTCCCACTGTCGTTAGCTTCCAGAGCTGAGTACTTAGCTTCTGGGCTGGGAAA